TGGTCGATTTTGGGATTTTGATTAAAGATTCGACCTTTATCAATTAGGTTTGTTTCCTTTGGCATTATTTGATGTATTTGAGTTGCTTTTGGCTAGTTTCGAGCCGTTCGGAGGTCGGTAAGCGCGTGATGGCATCTTTGGAGCATCGTTTGGCTTACTCGGTATTGGATTTGGCTTGTTCGAGGTAAGTAACACTTCTAAACTTGGTGCTGAAGGTATGAATCCCCGAATATACATGTTACGTGTTTGGTGTGAGGTGACGCACATGCCAGGTGACAGGCTGTGTGCGTGCACCATGTGAATTATGGCTCGGTTAATTCTGTGGTACTATGTAGTTACTTAATCTTATCTCTATCCATGATATTTCTGCGTGATAGAGTAACTGAGTTGTGATCCATGTTAGAAACCCAGGAGAAGATGCACGGGGCTCCCATTGATGACAAGATGCGGGAAGCGAGGCTTAGATGGTTAGGACATGTTCAAAGGAGAAACCCAGATGCTCCGGTATGTAGGTGTGAGCGGCTGGTTGTGCAGGGCACGAGAAGAGGTAGAGGGCGGCCTAAGAAATATTGGGGAGAGGTGATCAGGCAGGATATGGCGAAGCTCCAGATTTTCGAGGACATAACACTTGGTAGGAAGATGTGGAGGTCGAGTATTAGGGTTGTAGGTTAGGAGGTAGTTGAGTCTTGCCTTACTTCGTACCATTGTGGGACTAGCCAGGTATGGTTTTTGTCTAAGATAGCTAGTGGCAATGTTGTGTCTTACTATTTCGCTTCTCAGTACAGGACCTATTTATTAGCTATCGCCTTTGCTTTGCATCTTTCTTCTTGATTTCATGGTATTCTTAATTTTCCTATGATTGTTGTGGTGATACTAATATTGTCTCCTTTTATCTTTTTGTCTTTTTATTTTCTTGAGCCGAGGGTCTTTCGAAAACAGCCTCTCTACTCCTTCGGGGTAGGGGTAAGGTCTGCGTACACACTACCCTCCCCAGACCCCATTAGTGGGATTTTACTAGGTTGTTGTTGTATCCATGTTAGAAACCATGTTTAGGCTATATGCTTATTCTGTTGGGGCCCACTGAGATCATTTCTGTTGTTGAGATATTTGCTTAAATTGGAGTTACATACTCATTCAAATTCATTCATTTGCATATCATATCTTAGTCTCTGTTATCATTTGTTATCACAACATGTTTTCATTGTTTGGGCTGATTGGCATGAGATTTGTGAGCCCGAGAGACTGGAGAAATTGATGATTGAGTTGGGCCTGAGGTCCGGATTGTGAGTTATATTGATGGGATCAGGCTGCACGCCACAGCAGATATTATATATATGTGTGGATCGGGTTGCACGTCGCAACAAGCCTTATGGCTAAATGTGGATCGGGTTACGCGCCACAACAGGCCTTAGGGCTATATGTGGATCGGGATGCACGCTGCAGCAGGTTATATTAGCGCTTGGGCAGGATACGCCCCTCCGGAGTCTGCACACCCACAGTGAGCGCAGGTTCTATTGATTCATGATGGGATCGGGTTGTGCACCGCAGCAGGTACCGTACAGTGTTGAGTGACCGAGTGTGTTGAGTGATTGAGCGTGATGAGTGGGATTGTGAAACAGTGAGATGGAGTACTTTGAGAGTGTGGGTACATGAGTTCATCACTGTGGTGCATTGCATTGACATGTATACTTGGCACACATGCATAGAGATGCATTCCCTCATGTTACACGATTTTGTGACATTTATGACATTCACATGCACATTGACATGTAGTCATAGAGATGTACTTTCCTCATTCCATCTGATAATGAGACTTCTTAACTGTTGTTGAAAGTTTTTGGAAAAAAACACAGTTTTCAAACTTACACATATCTTTGGTGTTTTTGGTGAAAGGTTTGAGATTTACTGTTATACTTGAAAAGCATGCCTATTTATCTGTAACTGTGAACGAGCTGAGCTAATTTTTGTACCATCTTTATTATATTGTTATGAACTATTGCTGGTTATTAGAGTTGGACCCTGACCCTTGTCCCAGCTCGTCACTACTTTCAACATAAGGTTATGTTTGTTACTTATTGAGTACATGGGATCGTGTAGATATTGGATGCTGATATAGCTGTGTGCGATGGGAGATGGATCTGAAGATGTACCTGTGTTCCAGTCATAGTTGCCTCTTGATCTTGGTAGCTTTAATATTTCAGATCTGTTCATGTATATTTCAAACAGATGGTGTATTTTATTTCAAACCAGCTTTGTAAACTCTATATCTTAGAAGCTCATGATTTATACTACCAGTCCTTGGGAAATTCTTGTATAAAATTGGTGTATTATCAATTCTTTTCTTAATAAATTTTATTAAATTGAATATTTGTTAATTGCCTTACCTGATGGGTTGGGTTAGGTTCCATCACGACTAATTGGATTTTGGGCCGTGGCAAAGTGGTATCAGAGCTCTAGGTTCATAGGTTCTAAAAGTCATGAGCAAGTGTCTAGTAGGGTCTTGCGGATCGGTATGATGACGTCCATACATATCTTCGAGAGGCTACAGGGCATTTAGGATAAATTTCCCATCTTTCTTTCCTTATCTTGCTGTATTAATTCAGCTTGAAGTGTAACTCTTTGAATTCCTTCCACGCATTCATGTGCGTATGTGAGCGCTCGATATCAGCTGTACTGTACATCGACGACTTGTGATTCCATGGATAAGGTGCGAGATGTGATTTTGGCGTGATGATGATAGGCCAGTCTGGAGGACTTGAGGCCGGGTTTTGACTGTAGCTTGAGCACGGGGATTTCGGTTGTGTGAGCACGTGCTTTTGGACTTATATGTCTGGTAGCGTCCCTATGAGTGGAATTTATGACTTGATGAGTGGTTGGATGGCTGTATGATGAGTATGATGTGACCGCGGGATGTATTCAGATGGTTCGAATATGATGAAAAAAGTTTGCTTGAGATGTAAAAAGGACTATTGGGTGCTAGATTGTTGTCTTGATGTGACGCATAGTCTCGAGTTGAGTGTGTTGAAACCTTTTTTTTTTTGTTTAATTGTAGAACGAAGTAGATTTTCATGTCTTGTGGTGAGTTCAAACTTAGGAAGATTGGGTGATTGCATAGTAGTTGTGGCTGTGAAAGGGTATAAAGAGATGTCAGTTTGAGGCTAAGCATGTGGGTTATAACCTGCGAGGTAATCTACGGATGTGTGATTTTATGATTTTGTGTGGAGGCTTTCTTTCCTACTAGTGGGTTATATTTGTGCGATTTGAGTTTGAATCGGTTGTAATAGTTGACTTGACCGTCATGAGGATGGATGTGAGATTTGTAGATGATTTGAAGTATTAGATGGTTTGTGTTACATGAGCTTATGAAGGATTTAGTTGAATCTCCCTGCGGTATTATGGTAGTAATAAAGTATGGGTATTGCGATTATAAAGTGTTTGATCTATGGCTTTGAACTAAGTGGGGGAGTCTGCTATCGGCGATTTGATTGCATTGTTACGTGTTGCATTGGTTTGGGTCTAAGGCATCTTGTGGATCGGTTATGACTTGCAAGTGCCCAGTTCGTGCTCCTCCAGCTCCCTCTTATTTCAATTAAAATTTCTTTCGTGAATTTGACATAACTCAACATCTTTAGAGGCATGAGGCATCTACAAAAGGAATATGAATGCAATTTGGTTCTCAATCAAATAGAATAATGGATCAATACCAATGCGAAGTGGGTTCGGTTGCTACTTATTGCTAAAAGTAGTTGATAAGCATTAAGTATTGAAAATTATTTTCTAGTGATAGAGCTGATTTATTAAATAAACAGTTACTTGTTTGGATAAGAGTGTTGAAACTGATAATAAGCAGTGAAAGTATTTGGGGGGAAAAGCTGATAAGCATTTTTTTCTATTAAAATAACTTAAATGCTCTTAAAGTTGTTTATTACAGGATTTCAATTCTCGAATGATTCAAGAACAAAAATAATTTATGTCTCAATTTAATATTTATGCAAAATTTATTAGATAACATTATTTTTAATAAAATTATATGGTGATAAGCTAAAATACAATCATAAGCTAAAATAAAACAATTAATAATTTGTACAAAATTCATTACATTATAAGGAATAGAATAAAGAATAATCGTTTGGTTCATATTTAAATACAAAGAACAAGAGAAATTTCGAATCTGGGCAATGAATGTTGAACAACATTAACGTTTTCCCCTTTATAACACAACGCTTATTTATTTCTTTTTCAAGAGATTGAGAAATAATTAGGAATATACCCAGATCTCTAATTATACAACAAGATGCAAAAAGGACTTAGCAAATAATTTAAGAAAGTAAAAGAAATTTTTTACCCTAAATGGTGCCAATTGCCAATCTCATTGTTCTTAGACAGTAGTGGAGGTTAAGAAGTGAGAAAAAATGGTGAGTGAATTGAGTCATGAAGAACGGTAGATTTTAGGTTTTTGTTTTAGAGAAGGTATTTTAAAGATTATAATAAAATAATAGGGTAAAAGAGTAAAATTATTGGTTAAACCAAAAGTGCTTATAAGTCAAAAAAATCATAAGCTGGGGTGACCAACTTATAAGCCAAGTGCTTATAAGCTCTTTTTGGTGTTTACCGAACGCGTAGATAAGTTAAAAAAATACTTGTAAGCTAGTTTGATCAATTTATAAGCTTAGCGAAACACCCTACAAATAACTGAGACTTCTAAGGAACCACATTTAACTTGGGCCGGAAGTGGAAAGAAGTCGGCCAAGTCTTATTTACTGCATTCACCTAAAGTTGTTTCTCTATTTAGAAATGGCTTTCAGGTAATTCCATTTGTTTAAGTAGTGACTCCTTAATAACCATCACGTTTCATTTCAATGAGATGTCTACATTTTAGCGACAGACAAGTAATGATAAGCAATCTCAAGCTATATTCTTCAAGCAGTATTGATGCTAAAACACACCTGGCTATATGAGCCACTTCACTGCCAAAACTACGAACGAAATAGGAATAACAATTGCACAAGAAAAAATGGGATGTCATAATCCAAGTGCTAGCTGCCAAAATTTTTTTACACCATCACATGTAAAATTGCTACGATGATTAATTTTACAAGAGCGCTAACCTGTAACCACGGGAAATAAATCAGTCCTGACTACAAATTGGTGTCTATTCAAAGAACTAGACTACAATAAATTAATGTTAGCCAGGCGTTTCTTGAAGCTGGCATTATACAACAGACCTAAAATCATTCTGCGCACCGACATTGGAAACAATGTTTTACACATCTTGCCTTCCTCTATGTGTATGTTATTTTTAGGTGGATCGATACCCAGCTGTTCTGTACTACTCACCGCCATGATATTCCTGTCACTCCCGATCCATTGCTTGTCCATGCATGAAGTGGCGTTCATCTGCAACAGTATAAAGACATACTGAATAACAGGAAAGAAAGAATTTGAACGAATAGAAAGCTGATGAAGGGCCTTGGAAGTTTATAACAGTGCATCCACAAACAGCTCGAACAATAACAGATACTATGACATAAAAGCAGTACAATTGTTTTAATTTATCCTATTAATATTTATTATTGACATTATTGTTATTACCATCATTATTAGTCGTTTCTCATCTAGCCAAATACATGGGACGTTTCAGTTTGTTTTTGTAGGTCTGCAAAAACACAACACTGGAGATTACATGCTTCACTGCCGCTGACAAGAATACTGATGGTGGAATACATTCTAGGCTTAATACATATGCAGCCCCTTAAACTTGTCCGGATTTTTCATTTAGACACTTATACTATGCCTTGTTCCAATCGAGCACCTGAACTCCTTCATCAGTGTGTCTATCAGACACAACATGCTGACATGGCATGGTGTTTGCTTCACACCAAAAAGCTGAGCGCGTGAATGGATGGAAATTTCAACCTCTCACCTCCCAAGCTCCAGCTCCATCTTGAGGTCAAGAAATATCATCCTTGCCTTCGACTTCAAATGGGGTTTGGATTTTTGTTCTTGCCATAGTCCACCAGAGATAACATCCACCATCACCATTTTTATTAATCATCTCCAACTTCACAGCTGAGAGGGGAGAAAGTTTGACGATCGGCGTGCCGCTGGCTCTAAAGCAGCTTGACAAAATGCCAGTCCGAAGATAGTAGAGAAACACATTAACATAGATAGAAGAAAATATAATTGTCTTGGTATATATTTTGATATTTACTAGAAAATTTCTAAAAAGCATTGCTTGGACTTTCCCCGGAACAAACCCAGGAGCCAACACCATCACCGGTAAACAACTGACCACCAGAGAGTATCCCATAGTTCCATCCATATATTCCGCAACACATTACAAACAGAAAAAACCTTAAGAAAAAATCAACAGACATGACATGAATATGAGCAAGAAGATGGAGAGGTCACCGGATGAATATTTTCCGGCCGAACTCCGGTGAAGTTCTTCACTGTACTTGAAACTGATGAGTGCAGGTTTTGTGGGGGGAGAAACGCAATGGAGCAGAGAATAGAAAATGAGAGAAATTAATAAGGTCTTGTTCTGAATAGAAATTATACGAGTCGGCCCCGATTAAGACTATGGGAAACTACCGAATATGTTCTTCTAACTTAGATAATGAGGGAGAGAAATTAGTGGTCAATGGCTGAAGGGAGGGGAGGAAGGGGTTCAACTGAAACGGATTTTTTTTCTTCTGATGTGTCTAAATTTCATTGGTTACATTTTTAAAGTTAACGCGTGAATCTCACACATTTAAGTGTTTGGACTGACAGTAAAAAATGTGTTCAATAGACACTTTCAATACACTTAAAGTGCTCAATAGGTAACACCTTTAGTTAAGGTGTCTAAATGGAAAACTCTTGCAAGTTTAAGGGGCCATCTATGTATTCAGCCTACATTCTACATGGTACACATTCCCACGCCCACCCCACCCCCCCAAAAAAAAACGTTTTTACTTTCACTTCCACAAATCACCTTTTTCACGTGGACGAAATGTTCACTCATCAAAATCATTATCATATGTAAATCCAGTAAACCTGGAGAACATTCTAATTTTACCATACCAAAGGGTGTGGTCTAGTGGTCAACGAAGTTGATGCAAACTTTGGAGATTCCGTTTCAAATTCCAGCAGAAACAAAAAACACTAAGGTGATTTCTTATTTTTTTTATTGTTTTTTTTAGAAAGGTATCGGTGATTTGTTCCATTCTGCATAAACCTTGGTGAATGGAGTTATTCAGTACTTATACTGGTGGGAGGTAACAGGCACACCGATGAAATAGTCAAGGTGTGTCATTATCACCACAAAGAAAAAAACAAAATCAACAATAGTTTATTTTACCTTTTACATGGCATTTACTTCTTGATCTATCCCTTTTCTATTTATTTATTTATTCTTTTTGTATGGGGTGGTCTGGGGGTCTATCGTTAAAAGCCTCCCTACCCTCAAGGTAGGGGTAAAGTATGCGTACACACTACACTCCCCACACCCCATGTGTGGGATTATACTGGGTTTGTTGTTTTTGTGTGGGGTGGCCTGAGACTAAGATGAATTTAAATGGGCAACATGGTAAGTGAGTTCATATAACTATCCCCAACTTGTTTGGAATTGAGGCATAGTTATTTTCCTGTGTGGTGGCTGGGTTTTGTGCATTTAGGGTCAGAGGTCCACTACAACCAAGTGGTATTCATGGGCTATGTGACACCAGTGTTATGAAAAGCGCGAAGCGAAGCGTAGCAGTCATAGTCGCTTCTGGTGGGTGAAGCGTAACAGGTGTTTGGAAGAGACCGCTTCTGCCAAAAAGCGCTAGCGAAGCGTGAAGCGACTGAAGTGCTCGCTTCTGTCTTTTAAGTGACACTGCCAACGGTACTTAAATGAAAAAATAAAAAAGCTCAGTCTTTCTTTACAAAATCAACAAGCAGCGACTACGATTTCGATTTTCAGCACTCTTCTTCTTTAAGTTCAAGCCCGGTTATGTTTTCTTCTTCTCGTTTCAGTGCTTAAAATAACAGCGAAATGCTGCCAAATTTTTTTTTTCCTTCAGTTTTTCTTCTTTTTTTCATTCTCTTCTTCTTCTTCTTTTTATTTTCGTTTCGGTCCTTGAAATGCTACCATTTTTTTTTCTTCCAATCTTCATCTTTTGTTCTTACTGCCATTTTTTTTTGTGCAGATTCTTAAGTTGTTCTTTTAACGGCACCAAAAGCCATCTTTTGTGCTTTAATTGATGCTACTCTTTAGTTTTACATTGAAGTATTGAATATTTGCTTACAGTTACATATGTTGTCTATGCAGTATTTATTTTAGTTTTATTTTTAATCCAGCTTCACTTAAAAAAAGTGAGCGCTTCGCTCTTCGCTTTTCGCTTCACGCTTTAAGCAAAACAGGACTTGTCGCTTTACCTTGCTTCACGCTCTTCACAACACTGTGTGACACCGACAATAGGTATGTGATCAAAGAAGCGAAAGCATTGAATTGCTATGTTAGCATAGGTAGTGGCAGAATGTTGGCTTCGGTAGTACTTCCTGGCAGTACTTTCACTGTATGAGATAGAGAACATACTGATGTACTTTCGTTTTTATTCTTATTTCTGGGTATAAATTATGCACAGGCAAGGCACTTTAGGACATCCATATGGGATTCTGACACAAAAAGTTCTATTTGTTGTCTTCATTTTTTTTATTGGAAACAGAAAAAGTAGGAATCAAATTAACTCAGAATAAGAAGTCACACTAGGTCAGAGAGTGTTCACTTGTTTCCAGTCCTCATTTTCACAGAAACCCCCAAAAACTTTCCCACATATTTTTCCATTGAAAAACATGGTTTTATCTGTGAACCATTTAAAAAGAAAGCCTGAAATAATTGGGGCAAGCTCCATATGGACTCTATTCATCTGTTCCTTCAAACCACCAGTTGCTCCATTACTCCTAGCCTCTCCTTGCCTCATCACAACCTTCGGTGTGAAAGCAATTTGACCCCCTAACCTGGGTATTAAACTGCACGCCAACCTCCATCAGTTTCACAAGAATTTAAGTTTCCTCATTAAATCCAGAACTCTTCTTTCCATCATTACTCTTTCTGGACTTCCCGCTAATGCTCCAATTAATGCTCATAGACCTTCAAATTGTCACCATTAATAAAGACTATTATTTCTATTTAGCCATTTGAGTGGAGTGGTCCAGTCAGTCTATTAAATCAGGATCCTCACTTTTTCTAATGCAAATTAGAAACATCATAGATGCCAAAACATCCATGACTTCTTTCATTCTAGCAATTATTTGTTTATTTCTTTTTCACAAGAGCTTTAAAATTACTAATGAATTTTAGATGAATTGGAACACTTTCATACTTTTTTTTTTTTTTTCCCTGAAGGGGAGCCTGGGCGTAACTGGTAAAGTTGCTGCCATGTGACCAAGAGGTCACGGGTTCGAGCCGTGGAAACCGCCTCTTGCAGATATGCAGGGTAAGACTGCGTACAATAGACCTTTGTGGTCCGGCCCTTTCCCGGACCCCGCGCATAGCGGGAGCTTAGTGCACCGGGCTGCCCTTTTTCATACTTTTTTTTATTTTGTAGAAATCGAAGACGTCCAGGCCAGCTTGTGCGCGCCCCAACTAATCCACTGAGTACCTGTTACCTCCCACCAACACAAGCACCAAGTATCTCAGGCGACCAAGGCTTAGAGAACAACAACAACAAACCCAGCGAAATCCCACAGGTGAGGACACAAGCACCAAGTAACTCAGGCAACCAAGGCTTAGAGAACAACAACAACAACAACAAAAAAAAACCCAGCGAAATCCCACAAGTGAAGTCTGGGAAGGGTAGTGTGTACACAGGCCTTACTCCTTCCTTATGAGGGTAGAGAGGTTGTTTCCAGTAGACCTTCGGCCGACCAAGGCTTAGAGAGACGATAAAAAATCACCTAGTATTTTTTACAATGGCATACTTAATTATTCGTTGTTTTTATTTATTACTTGTACAATACAAAGGTTCAAAGTGTAAGGACTTCAGACTTAGGAAAGGTCATAGGGATTCCCCAAATCCAAATTATTTTACGACAATGTCTAAAATGAAAAAGAAATGAAAAACCATTTCCACAAAGTCATACCACTTTCACCATCAGATAACTCTCCAAGCCTTGAAATGGCATCTAGAAGTGCTTGTTCATGCTCCTGCACATTTAAAAAGCACTCGGTATCCTTGTGCAATTAATACGTGGGTATTAAGAATTAACGCGATTGGAAAGTTGAGTGTCACAAACCTTCAGCACTTTCTTTGCCTTCTCAAACTCAAGAGGATCTGGATGGCCGGCGCCAAAAATCCTCTCCACCTGACCACATTCACTAGTCAATGAATCAAATGCACAAAGTGAAAGATCTACATGTGAGGCCTGTTAACAAATGCAGCACTTACCTCTTTGATGAGTGTATCAGTATGAAGTAACTGAATATCATCAGATCCTTTCTTTCCTATGCCATTCTGTGATATTGGAAAATCTTTTCTGGATTGAGCTTTAGTCAACCCCCTACCTCTCCCTGCACCTGGAGCACTATCATGTCCAGCAGGTCTACTCATGACATGACCTGATCCACCATAATTTCCATGATGAGAAATTCCAGGTTCTTCGCCCTCCCACTGAATATCCTCAGGAGAAATCTGTCACAGTAGGGATATACAAGTCTAAACTTTGAAGAAGCTCTTCAAAAAAACTGAAGGAAATGTTGGAAGACAGAAACTGACTACCATATGCCAGAGCTTGTTTCTTTTTTCGTTTTGATAAACTTTACCACAAGCAAGTTAAGAAAAATTAATGACAGATGAATGAGGAGCTATATTAACAGGAAACCGCAAGTTTGTTCACATTTTTGGAATATCAGGCATGTATCAGACATGCATTTTGACGCCTCTCCAAAATACTGCAGATCATATCATGCAATACCAGTCTAAGAAAAGAGGCTGAGAAAGTTTTTGCAACCAAAATCTCCACACATTGTATGTCACACACATTAACTTTTATAACCAAGATAATATGTCATTCATTTGGAATAGCAATCAACAGAGCAAGTTAGTATGTCAATATCAGAACCAGAAGTTTTCTTGTGTGATTAATGCAAGTCCAATAATCATATATTGGATATATAACTAATGCCTAAAAATTCACTGCAAGTAGTCCAGTTAAAATTTCCAATTTATTTCAGTAGACATCCAGGTCACTAAAATCAATTGCCACAAAGTGACCTGTATTCCAACAACCATAGCTCAAAGTAGTCATGTCTACATTCTTCATATAACATTCAACTGCTGGTGAAATAAAACCCTGTACAACTTAGAAAAAAGGTAACAGTGAAAATTTGAAAAATGGTACACTCTGAAACAGCTAAAAAACTGCTCTCCACCTCAGAAGAGATGAAAACAGGTAAGTGGATGTGTTTGTATAACTGACCTAAGATAATATACGCTTTTTGTAATTAAGTAAAACTCCATTCTAACCTAGATATAGAAGATCCACAGAATAAGATAATATATTATTTTCCAGAGACAAACTTCCCAAAACCTAGATGCAAGACAACTCTAGTTCACTAAAAGACTGACAAAGTTACTCACATATGTATGCTCCTTGAAAGAAAACATAAGCTACCTCAATAAACTCAGACCAAAAAAAAAAATCCCACCCGACTGACATGGCATCTCACCCGTGCACCAGCAATGCTCCAGACAAATGCTTAACCAGGACGAGAAAGTAAGCCTATCATATAACATGATACACCTAAAACAGCTTTTGTTTTTTGATAAAAAGAAATCCATGAGGGTTAATGGTGCACAAATCAAAACTGGGAGCCCCCCCCCCCCC